ATAATGCGAGCCCTGAACTACGATTTCACGGAGACTCAATTTTAAGTGACAAAAGTATGTAATAAAGTGTAACACGTGTTATTGGCCATGTGGTTACACAATGAACACAGATATCTTGTCTTATATACTCCCCTGAATGCTATATCATGCTGTAAAAAAAGATCAACTAATAACAATAACACTTTATGCTGTTTCCCTTGGTTGTCGTTATTTAAAAAAGGTGTGACTGTGCATTGTTCCTTTCTAGCAAGTTGATTTAAAAAAAAATTAAAGATTGCGGTGTCTGTAACATAAATTATGAGAAAAAACAATTAGATTCCACTTTGAGAACACACCAAAAATGAGTTCTGGATTCTACTTTCTTTTGTGTCTATTCAAATTACTAAATAATGATAATGGATTTGAATGCCAGAACATGTGGAGAGGCTTAAGAAATCTGCATTTTTTTAAAAAAGAAACTAGAGGTAACTATGTACTTGAGAAACAATTTCTTCCGTGAAGAACGGTGATGTTTCACAAGAAGAACGTCAATCTTGATTTGTTGTTGATATATATTACATGTTTGAAGGAAAATAAGTATAAAGTCAGACCCCGGCCAAATAAGTACCATATGAAGTGAAAAATCAAATTTTTCTTACTTCTGATTTTTTTTTCATTTTGTTTAGCCTGATGTTTATTTGTCTATGGATCTGTGGTAGCGCACTGGCGGGACGAGTTCGTTTCTTACACATGGCTATTTTCATCAATATTATACATGTTTTTTATGCAAAACATTTACGATTTATCTTTTTATTTCTTTTCTTTTGAAGTGCCTGCCTTACTGAGACAGCTCATAGTTATAATCTAGGGTTCATTTTGTATGGAACGAAACTGAACCCCTGGAAGACATTTTTGAAGTAACAGCATTTGATAATTATAAATGGGATGATAATGGAAATGATTAGCAACCAACTTTTCAAGCTATCGGAACGCGCGATGTACACGAGAATCACAAGGAAGGACCTTCACAACAAATGTGTGCAAGGATGCAAAGATTCTGGTATTTGTATTTAAGATCATTTGGAGACATTATTATCAGGTGCATCTCCGTCCAATATTCCAGAAGACAGATTGATAGCTTCCCCACATGTAGAATCCGATATTTCTGGGTAATTAGAACTAATAACGGTTAAGGGCAAATGATTTGAAGTAAACGACCTGAACTTAACAGCCACAAAAAAACTAAAATATCTTTCGAAATAAAATTATCATGTAATGTTATTGTTGAAAATATGTTGTTTTTAAATATAATTTTAATTTTTGAGAATAAAAATCAACTGGAGTGAGCAACGATTACTTAACGTAGACCATACAATATCCAAAAGCAAAGTCGCCGCATGGACACCTTTAGCAAGTTCAACGGAAAGACCAATTTTTCATTTCATGCCTTTATTACCATCATTTTCAGCTAGAATTTGGTCAATTGAAATATCTCTTGTGACAGTCTGGCTCCAAAGTGTCATAAACACCTTAGAATATATCATATTATTAGAAGGCACGTGCGAAGTACAATATAAATAAAACAAATACAATATTAAGTGAAACATCAACTCAACTCAAACATTTTGGAAAGAAATACTTAAAGTACAAAATAAAAAATACTAAGCGAGTGATATAAGTAAAAAGGAATTTTTGAACAATTCAAAACTCAGATTGTTTTCAGTTAACAATGTATGTACAAGTAATGAAACAAAGAATAATTCTTTTAGAAGAGAATGCTATTTTACAATAAGATAAAGACTGTACTATCTCAGAAACTGAAACAGCATTATCCCCATTAAAGTGTGGGCAAAGTGAAGATGTTGATAACTTAATAAGTGAGATATTCTTAGAGTGCAAGATATAATTCCACCTACGCTTTTTGAAGTGTTCAATTATATGTATATAAATTGTGTTATCCTGAGACTTTGACAAAAGGTTTTTTGTTCCCGTGCTCAAACGGGAAACACTAGTGATGTCAATACTATAAAGTCATTACTTTAACTATGTTTTGTTTAAATATTTTTATTCTCGCCTGCGTTGGTGGGCAGAAATTAATAACTTGTTGTCGGACTATCAATTTGGTTTTCATACAGATAAAGCAATATAGACTTATTTTTTGCACTTAATTCAATTATAGATAAAGTAATAAGAAATGAAAATAAAATATTAAATTAATCATCTATCAATGGTCGTAAAACATTTGATGTTGTTATATGGTTAAAGCTAATCACACAAGGAACGTCTTCAAGAATTGTAAAAATGTTAAAAAAAAAACATGTATGAAAATGTGAAAACATGTGTAAAAGTAGACGGCTCATAGAAAACACCATTATCTCATCTGTTGTGAATATTTCTTATTAATGCTATGTATGACTTTTTATACGATGACAATATTGATATTTTCTCTATTACATGTATTAATAATTTAAAATAATTTCTATTACTGTTTGCTGATGATACTGTGTTGTTTTCATATACAAAAGTAGGATTACAAATATTATTAGACAAACTGCATTTATATTATTAAAACTGAGGACAAACTGTTAACCCCCGACAACTCAGTTGTAATGACATGTTTATGATAATTAAATTCTTAATATTGTTTAAAAAAATTGTATACTTATGTGTAACAATTTCCTCAAACGGTAGCTTTAATCAAGCACAAAAATCTTTGTCTAAGCAAGCTTTCAAGGCTCACCTCTTTATATTCACTTAACTCGCCTTTTTATAACTTGTCATTGAATATTTCTAAAAAATTAAACTGATTGATTCTATGATAATGCCTTTTCTTAACTTTAGGTGTGAAGTATAGTTTTATAATTCACTAGATATTGAGCGAGTGCATAAAAAGTTTATGAAGCAGGTATAAGGTGTTAGACAACAAACATGTAATGCAACCGTATATGGTGAATTAGGAAGAGTTCCCCTACTATGCTTTACATAAGATTGGTATCATAAAATTTTGGTTGAGAACTGCTAAGGCTCTAGATTCATTTTTGTATGAATTACAATATCAGTCAGTTTCTAAATAAATGGACCAAAGATGTAAAATGTCTTATACAGGACTTAGGCTTTTCTTATTTATTTGTTATTTGATAACGCTCATTCTATTTCTTACGTATATATGATCAATATTAAAAACAATGGTTTTCTGAAATTAATAGTTCTAGTAAACTCGAAACGTATAGTTTAATTAAAAGCACGTTTGGAAAAGAGATTGATAAATGCTAAATTCAGAATAGCCCATTGATGTGTTCGCTGTTTCGTTTGAACAAGGATTATATTAAAAAGATATAAGATTTAGATTTATAAGCATGATGTCTTCTCATGGGCAGTGTTCAATGTGTCTTCATATTTATTCCGATTTTCTCTGTTGCTATGCCCGACATCTGACTCTTGCGAAACAAATCATTTTGGGGAAGAATTGTGATGAAAAGAAACAAAACAAATAAAAAAAGATAGGGCAATTTTCGGACATAAGTGATAAACCTGTACGAATGATGCTTAAATGTAACAGGACCTGCTAAGAATTGTTTGACTTGTAAGACGGTCATGTAAGATTGTCAGACAGATTTTGCAAACCTTGCGAGTGACGTCAAAATAGCCTTTTTGATAACCATCATCATCACCACATAAATATTCTGGGCCTAATAATTCTTAATTAAACAAAGCTTCTTCCAAATACTTAAAATATGATTCGCGTGTGTAGCATAGTAGATAAACGGTATATTAGATTAATATGGAGTTATGAATGATTGATGAAAGAAAATGAGAATAAACTATAAATTACCAATTGGACGGAGTGTGCGTGACATAATTGTTAGCTTATTTGCTCATTTACCTTAGTTTTAATAGGCCATAACTTCACATGAAAGTAATTTCAAAAATTAATTTCACTTCGTACTAATTTGCCTCGACTAGCTCATTAATCTGACACAAATCTTTTATTCAAAATTGTATGTCCATGCAATTCTGCACCAGGAACATAAAACTTTGTCACAATATGATCTACTTTCAGTGCCAAACGCATAATGTTGGATTCCGTCTGATAATAGAGTCTGACGATTTTAAGTGTGGGGCAGGCAGGGAGATATATGGTGACCTGTGAATATTTTGAAAGCGACTTGCATTCCATCTTTAGAAGTTGTAAAGTTTTTAAAAATTTTAATGTTGACTTATAAGTAGTAGCACATGACTTGTGACTTTTGACTTCTGACTCTTTTATACAGCATTTAAAAGTTACTATTTGCCTGAGTAACTTTAACCATCTGAGTAGCCCTTACGAATTTTTTTTAAAAGATGCATACAGATCGTTGAGTTACGCTAAATTAACCACAGGATATTGATAGTCTAGCAAACACACACTACTTTATTTTATCAACATTTGAATGCCTAAATGGTTCTCTTTTCATATGTTTTACTGATGAGATAAGTAACTTTTTATTTTAGGCAAGGGACGATAGTTTTTTTTAATAATTTTGTTAAATTTTCATCCTCCCATATTTGTATACAGAAATATTGACCACACCCATACGTTTAAAATTTGATTACTGTAAAATTGTTATCATCATTTGTACAAATTGCCTGTAATTATTAAAGGCCTAATATGCCACAAAAAAGCTTTCATTTTTATTTCACAAAAGCTTTTTATCTTTTCTGTATTTTTATATTATCCAAAAAGATACTCATTGGTCAATTACCTGAACCATCTTTGTCATTGGTTACTTTTTGGCAATGAATATAGTAATTGTGAATTTGTATTCTGTATATGGTAGTCATATTACTACTTTGTTTACGTTTTGCTACCTTTACGATACTGTATTTCGCATTCATCGCGACTTTCTACAGGTAGCAAACATTTAATTTTCTCTAAAACTTGAACATTAAAATACATGTTTGCCTTTCCTAAAGAAGAATAAATGTATTTGTTTCTGAGACATAACGTGTTTTTAAAAGAATAACAACAAAAACTCTTCTATTAGTTTATCTTTAATTATTTCTAATCTTTATGTAGCCAAATATCAGAATTAGCCGTTATCAGCAAAATCAATTATGATATAATTTTCAGAAATATAAAATCTTAGATAGTTTATCAGAAATCGTATATTCTCATCCGTTTCCATAGAACTTCCGAAAAGGACATCGAACACAAAAGTATGAATGCACCCAACGGATACGGTATTTAGATCAACAAAACTAAGTTACAACTAAATTACATGTTAACAAATAGTCTGTATATGATAGAGTTAGTTTGTATTCATTATATCGTGTACAAGTCCATTCAAATTAAGTCAATTTATAAAAATACAAGTACATTTTAAGTACTAGGTTCTATACTGTCTATTATGTGTTTTTAATAAACTGAAAGTATACAGATGTAAAACAATGTTTTAGATTTTGTTATATTTCGTTTGCTGACAATGGATATTTAAAAAAAAGAGATTCTGATTGCCAGACATTTTTTTCCAATTTGGTATTGCCTTTATTTTCTGTTGGATGTAAAATAAATCCATTCATTAGTCATTATACAGAGATTACACACTTTCGTTTGTCAACATTTTAAGTCACGTTGTAGAACATCTTTCAATGCGTATAAACTCCGAGATTATTAGTTATACTGCAATACACAATTACGGTGTTCCAACAGCAGCACAATATTATTTTAAAAAAATTGATATATGTCACTTAAAATCACATTTAAATACTAAGTACAATTTCCGACACTATATACACTATGGGTTTTACATATGTTCGTACTATAATAAAAAAACGATGATGTTTATCATGGTAAATATCTTAAAAGCAGCAGTTAGCAGTATTTTCTTTTTGATTTATCTATGTCTTCGGCGTCTTTATCTTTTGTACTTCATGTCCTGCAAATATAATGTTTTTTGTATTAATAATATGGATAATAGAATAATATTATACTTTATGCATTTGTCTTTACCTTGTAATTAACTGTTTTATACGTTTCATAAATTATGGACGTCCTTTTAAGTTCATAACGGTTACATTAATGAAAACATGAACGAAATGCTAATACGAGTAGTACCAAAATCATAACCATTTTAACTACAGCGTATGTTAATATTGACAGTAATGAAACGATTTCACCTACCTTTAAGTTTTCGTTTCTGAATTATGTAGGACATTGCAAATCTTACAACTTTATCATTAGGCTGATAGCAAGCAGAAGTCCTGGTAACACTTAGCCGCTGACTGTCCTTCTTGTCTTTGAGTGGATCAAAAGCGCATTCTTCAAAGTTTATTTCTTGATCCAACGTAAACCTCGATGCAACATTGTTCACATTAAACGTGTGCTCTGAAGATGAACGAATAACACCTGAAATGGAGGATGTTTATGTTTAATTTGGGATTTTATTTTCATAGAATATTAATTAAGTAAACAAAGTGCGGAAAGCAATTGTACTATAAGATACTAATATTTCATTTGTTTTTAAACTTCATCGTTCTTTTTATTAAAACAAATGATATAAATATTTTGATATGAATTAAGTGTTTTACCTGGACTGACTCGTCTATACACTTCACTGTTATCATCAATGTTGATTTTCTCACCATATTTAAGTTTTGGAACATATCCGTTAATTACCGTCTCCATTTCGATTTCCCTAGCAACGCTTGTTTCATGATAAATGTACTTCTGTTCAATTACAACTTCTTCGCCGTTTTGGTAACGAATACGAGCTGTTCTGTTTAAGTCTCCACCTAAGTTAAACGCGTTCATGAATAAAATTATGTGTCATTTGGTATAAATATTTTTCAAAACAAAAATGTAGGTTCACCAAAAATTTAAAACTCATATTTTATGCTTATACACATAACCGTAATGTTGAAGATAATTTTAGGGAATGGAACGTACATAAATGATAACTCAAATAAATTATTTCCTGATGTACATATAATATGTTTAATATGTACTCTTTATCTTGAGATCATCTTTGAGAAAGGTTTGACTATATGAAGAATCATGTTAGTTTCATGTTTAGTTTTCATTATGCTATGGTTCTATCAAATCACACTTTTCATTTTTTAAGTAAAGTCTTTTTTTATTATATAGAGCTTCAGTAAAACTTTGGAGGAATTGGATAGAGCGATACAAGGACTATACCTGTAAACATAAAACCGTTCCTTGCCCCCGGTCCTCTTTTCAGCGCATACATCCATCCAATTACACAACATATTGTGTTCAATGTAATCATTTCTGAGCTGATCTCGTCTGGTACACTACTGATAGCTGTGTAAACTCTTCCTTTCTTGGAAGGAACAAATGAATGCATGTCAAGCTGATCAAATGACACACCGTTTAGTCTGCCGGAAACTGTACCATTAATTCGGCGGGGATTTGCTGTTCGTAGAAAATATATTATTTACTCCTGAGAATAAATTTTAAAATAAAGATATTTTTGCAAGAATCCTAAAACAAAAGCGATACTTTTTGCAAAAAAAATATATTTTGACTCCTCTTTCAATTAAAATTTCACAAAGTCATCACACAACTGAAATAAAAAAAAATTAATGACTTAAGTTTCATCATTTTTATTTCAAAATTATGCATATTGCTTAGGGGGCACAAATGGTAGCTAACACATACCAGTGCCTTTCATATAAAGGCTAAATAAAATCGTGATTGCCACATTTTCAAGTTTTCATTTTATTGCTTTCTTTAGGGATTCCGATTAACTGCTATTTTCTTATGATTTGTAATTAATTCGACCATTTCTCACAGAAAGTATACACACCGTTCGGAAGGCCTTTGTAATGATAGTGTGATAGTGCAAATCTAATAGTTTTAAATATATAAATATTAAGCATTAGTTACTGTCAAAAGCACCAAAGTTTTTATATGTTTTATGGCATAGCTTTCTTTGAACAAAACAAGTTTATTCGTGACTTTAAAAAAGAATACAATGAGAAGTACTTGTTTCAACACAGTGCCTTCCGTTTCCAAACGCCGGTGATACACAGCTGCAGCAGAAACCATCAGTATAGTCAATACATACAGCATCTGAATGACACTGACCAGCACCTTCCTGACAAGTCTGTTTGTCCAGCTCTGGCTCAAAATTAATATCAGTTAAATTAAAATGAACTTGAAAAATTTAATAAAACAGTAATTTGGATGGACATAGACGACCATTGGCTGTTTATATAAAGATAGCAAAATAATTTTTAAAATGTGGCCTCCGATATTTGTTTTCCATTCCTGGATTTGCACATTTAAAAGTATATTCTTTTTATTAAATTTATCCTGCTGTTTACCACTCCACAATACACGTTCTGTCATAGCGTTTGAAACATAGAAAAAGCAACAATAGTACAGGTAGAAGGTTTCAACTATTTATAAAAATCTGGATACAAAGTGTTCCCTCGGAAGCATAAGTCACAACAAAATGAAAATTCCAGACTTGCTTGTCTGTAGTTGGACAGGTTTATGCATAGACAATAAATTCTCATAATAGTTAAGATATGATTCGTTAAATTAACGTAATTGATTAAGGCATAACTTGTTTAATCTATATCCCTCTAATGTGAACTTAACTAAAAATATTTTTATTTCACGAGTTTAAATTTTTGAAAGCCAATATGTTGTTAAATACAGACAAGAATGGAAATCACCAATTCAACCAGAAGCAATTTAAAACAGAAATATAATGAAACTCTTATGCACCTTTAACAGCTATTAATAGGTTGTTATAATCTAATTAGCTAATTCTAACAACTGATGAAAGCAAAATCTTTTTATATACATGAGATTAACACTTTTTTTAAATAAAATCAACCATGAAAAGAATATTAAGACAATAACGTACTTTCTTCCTCCATCTGCACACCAAGAACGGCTACTGCTGTACCAACACGTCTACTTTCTCTGTCTGTTCCAGTACAAACATAGTTACCAGCATAGCTCGGTTGAACATTCGGAATTGTCAGGATACCGTTATCTTGTGATGATCCGTAAGGTAGACCACTAGAGCGAGACCAGAATAACGTTACCCTGCCAGTCTCATCTTCGGTGTAACATTCAAGACGAGCAGTTTCTCCGACGATACTTACGTACTTAGTCTGTCTTACAATGCTTGTAATCTCTGGTCTCTCAACTGTAATTATTTATATGGTTAAAGTGTCATCAAAATCATTTTAAATGTGTAACATGTTGACTTAAAGATTCAAATATCGCTCTCTATGAAAGTTATTGCTAATAGAAACAATATCTATTTACACCTAAATAGTTACAAGAGAGAAAATTATTTTCACCTCTGCTACAGACAGCCTAGTATCTGAGTATCTGAGTCCATTTCTTGCATATCATATATAAGTAGTAGACTCAGTTCAAAAATAAATAACGAAAACTTATATTTTATATTTAGCAATATTTACGTTTATATATGCGACAGAGTACCTTCATTAAATGAACGTAGATCACGAAAAACTAACTGTTAATTGTCTTAAAATAAATATGAACGCATTTCATGTTCAAAACAAATACACAGAAGGGAATAAGCGAAAATACAATACATAAAAATGCATGAAATAAATGTCATTGAAATCCAAAACTAGCTTTTGCCTGGCATCTGCCTCTCATGTTTGAGTAATTATCAAGGTTTGACTTACCAGCAATGACGATAAGCTCAACCTCTTGTCTTGTTACACCGTATCTGTTTGTAGCAGAACATGAATATCTGCCAGTATCATCTCTCTTTAGGTTTCGGATAGTAAGAGAATATTTGGGACTGACCGTTGCTCTGTCTGGTAACAGTCTTTTGTCTTGTCTGCTCCATACAACATTTAATGGTCCCTCACCACTCTTAACTTGACACTGTAACACAATCGTGAGTTATACCATTCCGTCATGGGTAAAGAACTTCATTTCAGAGGAAATATTTCAAGAAGTGTTAAACCGTATCACTTATTGTTCTATCTTTAAAAACTCGTCAACTTGCATGTGTCTAAGTTTTCAATACATATAGAAATGTTAGCAATGCTTGGAAAACAATGACATAATAATATAACTTATTGTAGCTTAGAAAAGAAAACCTATATTGTAAAATTAAGAAAATTAATCTAGAAATTAAATTATTGCTTATTGATCTTGATATCTTTTCAAAGTAGGATATTTTCTATTTTACAGTATGTTTAGGTCCCTATTTCTTGCTTTCACATTTGACTTTATAAATTTTGTAATCATATGCAATAGTAGCAGTATTGTTAAAAGCATCACATATGAATTATTGCAAATAGAAATAAAAGGATAATGGATAGAAAGGAATTAACAAACAAATTATAAACATCTTTAATTTAATGCAAACAGATAATTTGAATCCAGAAACATATCAAACACTGTACAAAAATGTTAACCGGCCTTTGTTTCCCAAACAAAACAATTGCTTTAACAAGAGATTGACCTTAAAGTGGTTCATAATACCATCCACCACATAACTTTTATGAAAGAAAGGGGCTCTGAATCAAAATTTAAACTCCAAATTCAAATGGAGCAATCTCTTTACTCAATAATTTCGTTACAGCTTTTTTACACTTTTTAAACTGTCTAATATACTGACCGATATGTAAGATTAAAAAAAAAATTCAAACGGAATTTGCAAAGGAAGTTAATAAATGAGAACGTTTTATTTTGTATAATAATACCACGCACTTGCAACGCGTATAGAGAGAAATACTGAACCTTTCTGATGTTATAAAAACAACTTTCGTAACAATTGACAGAATAATAACTTGAAACATGGAACATGTTAAGATCTATGTATTCCTAAATGAACATGTCATGTTTCGATAAGTAAACTAAATTTTCTGACACTAACATCTTGCTAGGCAAATATATATGCAAAACTGTATGAGAATTAATAACATTATATCAGTGCAATGCATCAATGCTCAAATAATGTATATAACACCTTTTGAAAATCATAAACTGAAGTTACCTGATAAATTCAGGTTTGTTGGTGTGTGTTTCGATATTTTCATGGGTATGACTAGACTAAGAGGATTGTGAACCATATTTGTAGTCTCGTCATTTTGAACAAATTTTATAGCTCAGCAAGCTCTTGTGTAAATAAACTAAGAACATTTTTTATGTAGAAAATGTAATTAGATCTAAACGCAGTGTAAAATGTGATATGGAAGAAAGTATAATTTGATAGAACTTAAATATCTGAGCAATTGAACTAGAAAGTAAAGAATTATCCTGTACACTTTATTTTAGAACTACCCTACCCTAAATTTCATTAAAGTATGACAAGGACTATCTTTTACAATTTATTTTAGAATGGCCTATGAAATTCCCAGATTTCAGTTTGTAATTTTAAAATGAGCAATCAAAATGTTTCTTCTTTTATTCAGTTCTTCCCTGTAAATTTTACAAGAAGTCAATCTGATTTAAGTCGGCTTTCGGTCGAAAAAGAAATATTATCGAGGCTCGAGATTAGGATATATGTGTTAGCTTCACACAATGTAAGCCGTGTAATGTTAACCCACCCAATGAATTAACATGAAAGATTCTCACTAAATTTTTTCATATGATAATTCATAAAAATTTAATTTATTAGGCCTTGTTATTTACCTGAAAATATCTATAATGAAACATTTCCCATTCCGATATTAATGATACTATCATGGTATAAACGGCTGAAGGCAAATATCATACCCCGTCACACCGGCATTATGGCCTAACGAGCCAAGGGCGACCTAGGTCGCATAAATGCCGTAGGGTTGACTTTGGAACGCATTGGCCGCCGGGAGGACCCTTTCATGGAAATATACGTAACACAAACACGCAGTTTTATGATGAGCATTTTACCTTGTAAAAACGGTAGATCCCTCTGGCTCCCCAGCCTTCATAGGAGATACAGCAAGTTCCGGGCGCAAGTCTTTGCATAGGCCACCTGACTGGAAAGAATCTTGGTCATAGTCGTCAGCACAGCTCACACCTCTTCCGTCCGTTTCTGTCATTTGACTTTTTATGTTAATATCTTGTGAGAATTTTTCAAGTTTTTCAATCCTGTATTCAAGACTATCAAAAGCTTTAGCAAGAAGTTGAAGTAATGGATGTTTCATTTTTTCCCCAACTGAAGCAGCGCTGACCCGATATTTGGTTCCGTTCCGTAAATATCGGTGTTAACACATTTAACTCGTGCAGAATAATAAATCACTAAAGAAAAAATAATACACAGTTTGGCTGACATCATCTGGAATCCAATTGCAATTCTGGGGAAAGAAAAAAACAGAATATGACAAGAAATAAATATTCTTTATCCACCACGAAAAATTATGTACAGTGAAACAAAACCCGACCTATTACAAGGAAAAATGAATCCAATGCAGTTATATGTAACGTCATATACTTTTAAAAACAAATTAAGTGAAAAAACGAATTAAGTGACCATTTCCTGTACATATTAATTGGATATATTTCATGAAACAAAACAAAACAACTTGTTAAATGGTATGCCGTTTTGGAGTGGAGTGGAACATGCAATAGAGTATAATTACTCCTATAGTATATCAAACAATGCCAGTGCATCATGACTTTTTATAAGAGTTTCAAGAGAGTTTCAAGAGTTTATTTCATAATACATATGGACAATATTCCAATGCTTACACAGCATCAATCGGATCTTCTCGACGCTTTCCGCCAAACTTCACACAATAGTAAGAATACACAAAAAGGATACGGTATTTTTGTCTACCCTACGCTAAAAATCTAATAGTAATTTTATGCAAGGAGTTGAATAATAAATTTATACCAATATATCAAGAAAAAGCCCACCTAAGTTAAGCGAATTTACAGATATAACAGTAAAAAGTACTTTATTTATGGTTGTAGAAACCGAAAGTACAAAAGTGGGACAAAATGAAAATTGCCGGCTAGATTAAATGAATTACTGGTACTTTATTTTACATCTACAACAAGTTGATATACTTTTCCGTAGTTATTATTGATAATAGCCGAGATGTTTCGATTAGCATATTTAAATAACTATATTATATAGTCAAATGGTCGATGCTAAAACTATATAAAACATATATCATTAAGTTAAACAGTAACTTTTAGCAATAAAAAATGTTAATTATGATTTCTAACACAAAATGACAATACAAATAACACATCCCATATTATCATGATAATTTAATACATATACCATCCTATTAACACAAAACAAAAATTGTATATAATATCACATCTTTCAGCGTTTGGGATAAACGTTTTGATAAGTTACGAAGAAAAGTTCAGACATACAATGTTAAAGTTCTAACAATTTCATTTCTTATATCCATTCAAACGTAATAAATTTAGGTAAATTTGGTCTTTTCCAAAAGTGCTTTGTAGTTCAGCATATAGAGAATATTTTCTGATACAATGCATTCAAGAATGTAGTGAAAATCAACAATTTCTACATTTCCTTTATAAAAAGGTATAGCTATCGGTGCGTTTCATATACCAGCTTAAATTTCTAGCCTTTATGAAGAAACTCTAAGCCAAGCCATTACAATTCTTTTTTTGATATAAATACAGTTTAAAAGTATGTTTAAAATTTAAAATCTGCAAATAATACCTAAGAACAAGCTCTAGATAAGTCATGTAATTCTGAAAACCAATTTTTAACAAAAACATCATTCTTTATTTGACTAAACTAATAAATACATTTACGTTGCCTACACCTTGAGATAACCATACATCATTAAAATTAAGTGCCTATAACAAATCTCAAACTTTACTGTTTATATAGTTTCAAATATACACGTAGGTTTCGTTTAGATCTTGAACATATACTAGTCACGAATGATCGTTTATTATTATACTGAAGCGTAAAATACACGTATAATGTCTTAGTTCAAATAAAATAACATGAACAAGAATCATTTATTTTGACATGAAAAAATAATAACACCTAAGTACAGATATATTCGAAAATAAGAAGCCACGTACAACAAAAAGTGTGATGATTAATAGACAGTGGTTCTAAGAATTGAATTATCAAACTGTAAACAAAATAAACCACCAGACATGTTTTCTTATCGGTAGCGTGATAGACTGTTTACTGAATTTTCCGAGAATTGAGTGTTTTTGTTTTTTGTTTTTGTAGCCGGATTCGTTTCTAAAGTAATGTTCACAACAAAGATTCGTATAAACTTCAGAAATCATTACTTACAAGAGATAACAATGTACTTCGTGTAAGGTGAAACAAAACGAATTCTCTGTTATATCAAGGAGATGTTAAATTGAACTTCTGCATTATTTTTGTTCAAATTGAAATTACGTAATTCAATTCAATTCAAATAGATTAGTTTTGTCTCATCTCATGTACGTGTAAGCAAAGCTTACATAGGTAAATATAATAAAAATCATATTTCCATATATAATTATTTACCATACACACCTTGTTAAAAATGTATAGGGAATGCTGTGATTCTATCATTTTTAAACTTAAATATTTCTACAAATGTTTCTAAAAGACTATATATATAACAATGCACGGTCTGATGTTATACAATGTATCAATTCTGGTGAATTCAAAATACTATAAAGTATAAAATACACTTAAAAACATATTAATAAAAACATTACTCCTGATCAATAATATAAGCTCATTCAAAACACTCTGACATAAAATGCCTATACAAAAAAAAATATATATATATAAAAAGTAAAAATAAAAATGAGAGAAAAAAGAGTAACTACAGTGAAATTTACGTACGAGACAAATATTATTAAGCTGACATCATTTTTGTGACTGAAACATTTTTTTAAAGTTATACAATTTTATAGCATAAAAAGACATGCAGGTACAACGTATTCTTTTAATGTTCAAGAAGAAAATGTTTTGAAATGTGCTATTTCATAAAAGTTAAGAATGGTCTTTTCAAGTATGCATTGTCATCTGAGATGATCATTTAATAAGAAATAAAGTTGTTCTTTGTAATATTAAATTTGCAACAATAAACCAATTAAATTTGCAACAATAAACCAAAGACGCCACGTCACTGACCATATAAAATTGTTTATGTATGTAAATCTAATAAAAGATTGAAAAATAATTTATAGTGTTAATATAGCTTCATGTATATGTATTTAGACAGGCGTCGAGAGAAAAATGACTAGAAATATGTATCTGCTTTCCATGTGTATTCAGTCTTTTGGAAAATACAAATAAAATACATATAAATGCAAAAATACATACAAGTTTGAATACATCATTGATGATACAGATTGCCGAAACAAGAGTTACACGAATAAATACAATTATACACGGATTCACGGGTTAAAGTTATATGAAATATTTAACAATGCTAACGGGATCCGCAGTTTTCCCTATTGAACGTAGAAGAACCAAAAAAGTGTGTGATAGTATGCAATAAAATCACTGTTGACATTCTATATTTAGACTTGTGACATAATCGTTTGACTATCCACTAAAATTGCGACGCGCCGAAAATGAAAATAAGTACGGAAACAAATCAGGAGCGATTTAGCTTAATATCAGATACGGCAGCATTTATTTGTTAATGTCGTGTTAGATTTGAAATAATATTATCCAAATCAGTGATTTTATCTCTACGTCTTCGTGATATATTTCCTCGCATCCGAGCTCTACATATTGATTTTATTGAGCGATAAAATCACTGTTTGTGATATATTATTTCTAAAGTAGGCCTATTTCTGCAAGCTATTCAGTATTATCCCAAGCTAAAATTGTTCCACAGAAAGGTCTTTTATATGAACAAAGAATATCATGGCTTGATAAAAGTTGTATCAGTTGTGTTTTCTTTCTTTAGATTTTAGAAGTGCGCGCGTAACATTTTATAATAAGTGTAATTCACAACTCTGTTTGAATAATTTCATGCGAAATCTTGCCGATTTCTTTTACATTATCTCAGGTAAATGCACAGTGAACAAAGTGTGTATATTATAAGAATTCATCGACTGTTTTAGAACTAAAGTAGGTTCAAAGATGGCGCGAATATTATTCATTCTAGTATCTTTAATGGTTTTATATCCCGCGCTAGTTAAAGGTGAAAACAACGTCACTGTCGGATTAGAACCAGATACGGAGCCTAAAATTGCAGCAAATTTTCTTCGACTGTGGAAAAGGACAAACAATCCTTTAATTCGACTTCTTGCCGAGTCTTTTGACAGTCTTGAAAGAAAGTTTGATGGAGTTGAACAACTTGTTGTGGACGCTGAAATAGAAAGGCAAATTAGTGAAACGGACAGGGTAGAGACCAGTCTTAGAAGTACAATCAATGAAACTGAGCGCAGACTTAAACAATTGATTAACGACAAGTTCGACACTCTTGCCGGAGAAATATGCAAAATGTACACGTGTACAGAATGGTCAGAATGGACTAAGTGTGACTCCAAGAGTTATTTAGATTATGGATTGAAAAACCGTACCAGAGAATGCAAGAAAGGGGCTTTGTTCTGCTCCGAATCCTCTAAATCTAAATCTGAGACTGAGAGCGTGATGTGTCAGTCTGTATGCCCCGACAATTACACTGAGACACCATCTAACTACTGCGTCAAGTTGTATGATTCCATAACACGCTCGAGAGATGATGCCGAGCTTCTTTGTCAGCAAGATGGTGGCCATTTGATAAATATTGATTCTGCAACAAAGTCTGATGATATCACAGAGATTCTTAAGCAACAAAACCCTAGTGGACGTGTGTGGATTGACGGCATTCAAAGATCATACGGTCGGGAATGGGAGTTCAGTAACGGCTTAATGAGTCCACAGTTTTCTAATTGGGAACGTGACCAGCCAAATGGAAACACATATCCGAACTGCATGTATCTTCTGCCGTCATCTGGCTGGTTATGGGCAGACTTTCCCTGTTACTATTCTTATAACTTCATGTGTGAAATATCATCATATTAATAATGATAATGAAAGTCACAGTAGTGAACACTGAAATGTTAGCTGAGATAAATGGTGTACTCGGTAAAACCGATAGGACTGATTTTAATTTACTTATTGATGATATTTGTGAGATGCATTGACTAAATCGGAGAAGAATTCTATAAGACATAGTCTTTCGTTCTAATCCTCTTCCGTGAATATTGTCAAATTTTGTATGTGTATATATTTTAAATGTTATTATGTACATATTCTGAGAATAAATATGTTTAAACTAAATCGGAATTATATTTGACTTGGGAAAACACCATGTGAATAACATTTGACGTCACTCTGTTCGTGTTGAAAAAATCTGTTAGATAAGTTGTGTTTTGTAACATCTTAGAAGGAAGTGCGCAAATGTGTTTTTTCTCTCTCTCTAACAATCATAGTGTGTAACTACAACATGGAATTTTGAGTTTTAGTTTACCTGAGTACATTGTAGTTATTGTGAGCTTTAAGGACCAATATCTCTCTGTCGTCCGTCCGTCGTCTACAACTCCTTTAAAACATGGCCAAATTTGATGGCGTTTGTCTTTGTAGTTGCGTGCACCAAAGTTAACAAAGTTATGATGATTCGGGTCTATTCCATATCTTGACGATACTAGCTTTAAGTACTGTAAATCCGGTATTTTTCGCGATGTTTTAATTTTCGCTATTATTCGCGAATCGACGCGTCGCGAATTCATGATGCCGCTTAAATTTTTTAACATAACATACATTATAAAAAAATAAATCTGATGACATTTTTTTTTCGAATTGTGATTAAGTTTTATAATAAATACAATAACTAAATGCAAATAATAAAATATGTGCAATGTTTTATATACATAATAAATATTCGAATAATAATAAAGATATGAAGGTCAAAGATTTTTCCCATTCCTTTTTTCCTCATGAATACATGCATGTAAAACACAAAAAGAGACAATATCCACAAATAAAAATAAACACATATTGTTAAGATGACAATAGATTTATGGTAAAACAGTGATCAGCAGACAATTTTCATACGGTAGACTAAGTATTATAAACAAGTATATAACACCTTCTTACAAACATTAAACGTTTTATCAAACACGTAATTTGCAAACAAAAAATCAAATTTGACCAATAATTAGAAAACCCGTTTATAATAAGTCAATTACATGTATGTAGGTACATTTTGTATTTAAAATAAGGATATAAAAACCGTCTCTTATTAACACCATTAACATGTGGGGGCCTCCGTGGCCGAGTAAATAATTTAAAGGTGCTTATATTCTTATCCGAAAGAGTAAGTTCCGGAGGTATTTAAGATGTATGAAAAGACTTTAAAGGTGCTTATATTCTTCTCCGAAACTTTCTTAGATGTAGTTTATGCAACAGCTTCTAATGAAGGTGTACCAAGTGTTCAAATCATACAACTTCTGTTGAAATTCGCCCCTCCCAAGGGGCCTCTTGATTATATATAAATACCTTTTAAAACATACATGTATTCTCCCCCAAAACCCCAATGCGTAGATGTTAGGTATTTAAAGGGGATCATATGACCATGACTCGTTTTGTTCAAAATACCGTTGATTCGCGGTATCTAATTTTTTTAATCAATTTTGTTCAATCATAAATCTTGAGTTAAAGTTTACCCTGCCACGTGCAACTTAAGTATATCAAGATTCCTGTAAGATAAACCGTAACATCATCGTCTGTCTTCTGCATATAAAGCGTACAATGGTCCCTGAGACGGATCAAATTGGCATCGCTCTGATGTTTTATTTATTTTGCACATATATTCAGTTTAGAAAAAAACTTTCACTTCTTCTCAAAGCACATGGTAAGTGCTTAAAAGTTTGGTAAACAAATGTATGTAACTGTCTTATTAGTCTATTTAGTTTTGCTCAACTTCAATGATGTTTCTAATGTAAATTCAAACCTTATACGAGACTTTGAATGCCTCCAGCTGGTTCGTGGAAGGCCAGAGGTTCAACCAATGTCTTTTCATGCCAGTCCGCATAGATTAATCGGGTAGAGCACGATACTCTATATTTTCCCGGGCTGGTCAACTAAAATTACTAATCAGTCTTCCAGATGAGACTTTAAATCGAGGTCCCGTGTATGAGTGCTTCAACACTTGGCACGCCTAAAAAACCAGGAGAAGTTTCTGGAATTGGGGCATCTATCTATATATGTATCTTGCATAATCCTCCGAAATCTGAAATGACAAGCACTCTTCTGAATGACTCTCCCATACGGGCAACCGGTAGCGAGTATAAAAAAACTCAAATACACACGCACGCATGCACGCACACACACATAGACACACGCGCAGGCGCAAACACAAACGCACACACACAAACACGTATGTCGTATAAGTAAAGGGCATCCGTGACCGAGTGGTTAATGTCGTTGACTTAAAATCAGTTGCAACTCACCACTGTTGGTTCACATCTCGCCACGGACTTTGAGTTCTTTCATATGAGGAAGCTATCCAGCTAGCTTATGGAACGTCGGAGGTTCTACACAAGTACCCGTTCGTACATGCAAAAAAGGCACGGAGGGTCGACATATGACATTTACTGTGTTGGTTCGACGTTAAACCACCCAAAAATGAATAAATAAATACATCATATAAGAAGACATTATTATATGTGTATAAGGATATTGTCTGAAACATTAAAATACATGTATAGCTATTATTAGTAAGCAAGACAGTTTTGGTGAAAATATTTACTAACAATTCACTGCTTGACAATTGTGTTTCTGAGGAAAAACACTTCTGAAATTTTCAGGTTGTTAAACGTATATGAATTCGTGTTTTTAGTTGAATAAGAATATCAAGACACGATAGCTTAACAAAGTTTTAGTCACTTACATTGTCATTTTTAAATAGTTCATAGTTTAACTTATCCCTGATACGTATCCTCAATAAAAAGATGTATTATATAGTATCGCTAAGCATCACCATTATTTAAGAGAATAAGACAGCGTGCTTAAAGATCTAGTGGGCTTTAATTATCATACACATTAATTACATACCCATGTAATTCCAGCCAAAGCTACGATACATTCATAGTTTTTTAGTCTGGATATTTTTGAGTTCTTTGGAAGTGATCTGTTTTATATCACCAATGTATCTCTTCAGCGTATTGTCACCATAGGCATACACACTATACAACATACAAAATGTATGTACTGTCCTAGGATAATAATTTGGTCTTAACGGTACATGTGAAAGTCCAAAAACGGGGTTATCTGGATTATTATCCGATATCGTAAAAGAAAACACTTACATATACTATATAGCATTATTCTTACAGTATCGTTTGTTTATTACCGTTAAGGCTCTGTCGATAGATCGAAATTATCGTAACCTTTAGTGTTTTGTACTCATAGGTTCGATCCATACGTAGTACCATTTTATAACCACAGTTATTTCTTCTTGCTTTGTTCTTTTTATCATTATAATTATTTAGATCTATTTATTTTTCGTTTTCCTTTTTGTTTTCTTCTTATAATATACATTTTATAGTATAAATATATATTTATTCTTATTTTTATTCTTTTTTCTTTTTGTATTTTTTTTATCCTAGTGTAATAAAATATTCGATCTCACATTCATGTATGTATATGAAAAAAAAAACCGGTCAAACTTGTTTTCTGAACAATTCAGTGTTCTGATGTTAAAAAAAATGTGTCGTACCAGTAGTCGAACTTCTGCCTGTACAGGTGAAACAAATTACTGGCACGGTTGCTCTACCTACTGCGCTAACAAGACAGATAATAACATGCACTTTTATTTTCATTTTTATAGGTTGTGGCATTGATCTGCCTAAGGGGGCAGGGGACATATACGAATGATGGCCCCGGTCAAATTTTTTTAATAACTCAGACATGGTGTTTTGAAGGTACTGATAACTTCTGATATTTCTCCGTCATTGTAATTCTTTCTTGTTTGTGTGTAGGAAATGAGCAGTATTTTTGGGTTTTTACCCGAAACTAAGCATTTTGGTAGCTTTGTATGTATTTCTGACTCTCCGAATGGAGGTGAAAAAGTTAAAAATCAAGCTTTGACAGTTGGCGTCAAACAAGTAAGAAATTTCAGATAAATTTTGTGAAAAATCTAAACGTATGACAGACACTTTATTGGTCATTTCTGAAAATGCCATAGCTTGCACTGCGTGTTACTGATATTTTTAAAGGAATCTGGCGGATTCTGGAGATTGCCCATATTGGTATATTTTAGGTGTGATTTTGGCTGGGTGGGGGTAAATATAAATTGCTGTCAGTCATTTTTTGAAGGAGCAATGCATGCAAACTATTATTTTCTTCAATGTATGTCATATATCATTGAATAATGCTGTGCAACTGGTTATCTGCCTGTGAAACAGATTTTGAAATATCTGGAATTGTGTTTCTGGTCACACTGAAATACAAAATATTCCCCTGCCCCCTAAGCCATTTGTTTTGGAAAAGCTGTTCCGGTTAGGTGGTTTCCTGCTTACTTATCTTAGTGCATGATTAAACGGGAAACCAGCTGCAATCGTGCCAATCGCAACTTTTCGGCCCTTTCCGTCACTCTTCGGATTAATGATAATAGCCGAGTCAGTTCCGATTGCAACCGTGACAATTCAGGCGATTCCGTCATACTGCGGAATCAGACGAAGTAATATTACGGAAATCTAAGCTATTTATCCCAGTTTCTTTATGTAAATAGGATTTCTACTTTACTTGATTCCGTTTCAATTCTTTTTCAAGACGCAAAAAATATTTGCTTTTATAATTGGTTTTTGTCTTTATTAGTTTTATACAAAAGAGAATGGTTACTGTAGTAGTATTCCGTCTCCAAAAGGCGGTCCTGCTTACCAAAAGGTCGTGACCGAATCACGCAGAATATTAGTGCATGATCAAGTTATATTTAGATCTACTGACAGAGTTGAGGTAATCTAAAAATAGTTAATGCATATCATTAACCTTACCACGTGCTGATCTCCTGTGTTGTCGATCACAGATATTATAGTTGTAACTTAATTGATACATGATTATTAATTGGTACCACGTCACGACGTCTTTGAGTGCATTTATTTGTCTCTAAAGCTATATAAATGAAATTAGCAACTGCCAAAAATAGATTGATCTCCACGTGAGAGCCAATGTTGGTATTTTTACGATTGATTATTTTCTTCATTAGTTTTATACAATAGAGAATAGATTTCGAATCGTTTTTGACAAAAATATATTCGTTTTTACAAAAAAAAGTTGCT